GAGGGTCAGGAGCACTAGCATGTCTCTCTGAATAATCTTCACAAGACAATCAGGTCAGCCTTTCATTAATTTTGCAAACCAAATTTTATCCAATTGGGGGATTTTTCACAGTAAATCAAACAGCTGCTACACTAGTGAAGGACATTTAAAAAGGAAGTTGAGCTCTGCTGTGAGCCGGGGGAAGGAAAGGGATGAATGAGTCAAAAGCCAAATCCAGACTTCTCCTCAGACTCTTGTTCTGAGTGCTGGTGGTATATGAATACATTTCTGACAAGCCCTACAGAGGCAGCTAGAGACAATGTCCAGTAACGTGAAAGATATTAAAAATGTCCATTAAGCCAATAAAGGAATAAATAAAACCCTTTATTTCAACTGTACCTGTAGTTCACTTGTGCTCAGCAGAAAGAAAAAATGCATGCTTTTATGTACAGGGAAGAATGATCTATTGGGGCAGAAGAAAACATACAGAAAGAGGAAAGAAGACTTTGAATGACAAAGACAGGGGAAAAGAGCCAAAATAAAATGTAGGAAATGTGATGAGAGGGTAGGCAAGAAGAGGAACAGAAATAATTGTGGATGGAATACTGTTTTGTTTTTTCTTGTAACTTGTAGACTTTAAAAAAAAGGGGAAGAGAAAAGAACAATGTAATCATGTGGTTGAGGGGCATGGTAAACAGAGAGGCCAAAGGGAATAGCTGAACAACTTGCAGAGGAGACAGCTGAAGATAAACAAACCCCCAGACTTCCCCAGCTTACAGGACAGAAACAAATGGGAGAAAACAGAAGCCAAGTAAGGTCTGCAGAGAATGAGAGGTATGTCTCAGTGTAATGCCAAGGGAGAGACAGACCTGCCTTTTCATCTGTACAGCTAAAGAGGACCTCAGTTTACTGGGCATTTCTTCTACTCTCTTCTCAACCACAGGGCAGCTGAAGGAATAGACCTAATACTGGATTGGGGTAAGAACTGTTCTACCACTGAGATAAACCTCAACATCTTTGAGGCACTGAAGCTGAATTTCGTTTAGAATTAAAAAAAAAAATGTGCAGAATGTGCCATTTTCCCTGGTACCCCTGGTTTAGGGAGATTGGGAAGAGCAAACTTGCCTCCTTTGTCTGCCATCCAGCTCACCTGCAGCACACGGGTATGCATGTGTATAGTTACAGAAGCAAACTGCATTAGTCCACTCAAGTGCGTGACTCCAGTACGAGTGTAATGGCAACAATATTTGTGAGGTGGCACCCTGGTTCTGGCACAGCACATTCGCAAATTAACACAAGCTTTTGCTGTGCATGTCTAATATGTTTTCTGCAATGTTTCCTGTAAAAGTCACCACAGAGTGGCTGAGGCTGGCAGGCACCTCTAAAGATATCTACTCCAACCCTGCTGCTCTGAGTTGCTCAGAGCCATGACTAGTTGGGTTTTGAGTATCTCCAAGTATGGAAACTCCATTACCTCTCTGGACATCCTGTTCCAGTGTTTAACCACCCTCACAGTAAAAAAGTTTTTCTTATGTTTATGCGATATCCTGGTCAGCTTCCTGGCCTTTATGTTTGGAAATGTCTTCCAGGGGAAGTTGCTCCATCACCTTCCCACAGATTGAGGTGAGGCTGACAAACGTGTGGTTTCACAGATCCTCCTTCTTGCCTTTCTTGAAGATGGGAGTGACATTTGCTTTCTCCCAGTGCTCAGGAACCTCTGTTGATCACCATGACCTTTCAAACATAATTGAGAGTCACCTCACAATGACACCAGCCAGCACCTTCAGCACCCATGGGTGCTTCCCATCATGTCCTATGGGCTTAAGTATGTCCAGTGTGTTTAAGTGCTTTCTAACCATGTCATCCTTTCATGAGGGTAAGTCTTCCTTGTTCCAGAATTTCCCTCTGGTCTGAGGGGCCTGGTGTGGCTGAAGGTCAGTCTTACCTGTAAAGACCGAGACAAAGAAACCTTGGGCTTTTCCATCTCCTTTGTCACTAGGAGTGGGGTCAAGTGGGTAAAATGTTTACAAGAGCTGAACATTTTGTACTGAATTACAATTAGCTTCCCAAGCAGGATTGCCTTTTATCACTGCCATGACTCTTGCCAATTTGAGGGAGCAAGCTAAGCAATACTCAGTAAGTTGCTCTGCCAGTTAGCGGTGGGAGTCCCCAGCGTTTAGGTACAACACTGTTCTGTAAACCCTTCAAGGTCTCACCTATCCTACCAAGGAATAATGGCTCTTTTTCATAATCAGTCATTCCCACTAGGTTTCATTGCCTTAAGTAAATACGAAGTACAGACATGGTATTGTCCTGAGAGTGTACTCCTGAATTCAAACACCTAACACATTTAGTTATCTATCCCAACCATTGACCCCCATCTGAGCCATTTCAATGAACCATTCCTGTGTGCTGCAAAGCTTTCACTTGCTGCTTGCAGAACAACAGAGAAATGGTATGCTGGGTGGCTACACACCATCAAACAGGAAAGGCAAGAAACTCCAAGACAAATTTTGCCCCCTGATGCCAAGTGAAGCCAGTAGTGTTTTGTGGTAATGCTGTCAGTCAGACCTGCCCCTGCCTTTGGGTGTTGTAATCAGTAGGACATCAGGGCTTCTCACCACCTTGTCCTTCGGGACTGAAAGGAGCACATCCAACTCCTACCAGCAATGAACTTGTCAGGACTCAGCCAAAAATGCTCAGCTCTTGCTGACATTTAACTCCTTTTCCCCTTTCATCTGCAATAACAAGAGTGAAGGAATACATCCCCTTGTTAGTAGTATCAGGACAGCTAGTCTGTTTTGTGAAAACAAATTTATAGCACCCTTTATTTTACTCCTTTTTCACCAGGATGCTTTTTGCTGCTGGTCCTTGACGGTAGTACCTGGGTGTCCTGGTTTCGGCAGGGATAGAGTTACTTTCCTTCCTAGTAGCTGGTACAGTGCTGTGTTTTGTGTTTTGGATTTAGGATGAGAACAAAGTTGATAACACACCGATGTTTTAGTTGTTGCTAGTAGTGCTTACACTAGTCAAGGACTTTCCAACTTCCCATGCTCTACTGACTGAGAAGGCTGGAGGTGCACAAGAAGCTGGGAGGGGGCACAGCCAGGACAGCTGACCCAAACTGGCCAAAGGGACATTCCATACCATGTGACATCATGCTCAGTACATAAACTGGGGGAAAGCTGTTTGGGGGGCTGCTGCTGGGGGACTGACTGGGCATCGCTTGGCAGGTGGTGAGCAATTGCATTGTGCATCATTTGCTTTGTATATTATTATTATCATTATTACATTATTATTATTGTTATCATTATTTTATTTCAATTATTAAACTGTTTTTATCTCAACCCATGAGTTTTTCTCACTTCTACTCTTCCAATTCTCTCCCCCATCCCACCGCAGGGGGGGAGTGAGCGAGTAGCTGTGTGGTGCTCAGCTGCCGACTGAGGTTAAACCACGACACTTTAGCAAAAGAGGACATAGCCAGGCCATTCAGAGACATTCAGCACAACCCTCAACAATGCATGGCATTAATCTAGCACGCCAATTTCTAGAGACAAATTATTGGCACACTGGCAACCTGAACCACCTGTGTCCATGGAGGAGTGATACTTTGGAAGACACAAAGGAAAAAAGGCTTGGTGTTTTTCAGTGTTTCAGGTGGAAAATAACTTCTGACACTTGCTACTGGAAAGTTTTAAATAAGCCTTTATTCATTCAGATAACAGAGACTTTGATCAATGGCTGTCCTGGCACCATGCACATATTATAGAGGAACAGAGTAGAGTTTGCTGTTCTTATGCAACCTAAGGAAGGAAGATAGCTGTGGCTGAAAATCAAGAGTACAATGTGCATTGGGTGGATTTTTAGCTCTACATTAAATCTCCAGTGCCACGTCAGTCAAGCCATCCCTATGTATTTATGCTCTTAGTATTTGTTCTTGTGTCATATGAAGGTCACGCTACCAATGTTTGTTGAATAGGCGAACCACTCAGTATTGGCTCAGTTTTGTTTCATTGAAGTCAGCGGTGGCTTTAGCAACATAATTATGCCCATTTTTGCCACTTCTGCAAGCTCCCTCGGACTGCAAGATTCGAAGCATTGTTCACCTCTGCTCATATGCCCCTATACCTCAAAACCGGCTTGTTTGCACCCAGAGCACCTGATTCCTCTGTATTCCAGCTCTCGTGAGCATTCTCACTTCTGCACTTGCTATATTACCTCTCTCACGATCATCAAAGATACAGGACAGTCTGCACTAGCAATACAGTCTACGGATATGTGAAAGTGGGAGACTAAGACCAAGTGAGGAATTCCGTGTGGGAGACTAGGATTAGAAACTTCTGAGAGACAAATCAGAAAAAGTAAGTGGGAGAGCCGAGGTGGGAGGGAGAGTTTGTCTGGGCTAGAAGACTGCCAGGGCATATAGAGCACTGGCCCTGCAGAAGAGACAGCTACAAAGGCAGGAGCAGGTGTGTGAAGCTAGGGATGGGAAAGAACCAGGCTGAGCGGTTTGGGGCAGTTGAGGGTCAAGCCTGATAGAAATGTCTGGAAACATCTAAGCCCACTAGTCAGGTTCTTGGCCAGCCCAGAAGCCGATGGACAACCTCTGCTGTGTCTTCTATCTTCAGTGCCTGGCAAATGTGAAGAAGACAAACCTGCTACTGCCATTATGTCCTCTGTTAGCTCAACCCAAAGAGGTTTGTGCTGTAGTCCTAAAAGCTCCAAGCTGTTTGATTGCTTTTACACAGAAGAACAGACCCTCCATGGCTTTCTAAAGTACCAGATAACACAGACCCCAAGTTGAAAAATGAGTATTAATGCAACCCAGAGCTCTCTGTGAGGAGAGCACACTATCTCCTGTGGCTTGTCTTCCACACATTTCCAAAATACTGCTGATTAGCCATTGATCCTATTTTTAAATTTTAAAATTGAAATTCCATAGGAAAGATGGGTGCAAACCACACGTCCCTGTGGAGCTAGAGCATCTCAGCCTTATCCAAAGATTCACTTGGTCTTTTTCACACCATGTTGTCATTTGCCACACTCCTTTCTTTCTTCCTTACTGCCTCTCTTGCCTTGAGTATTGGAAACCAAAAGTTGATCTGAAAAGACAGAAATATGATGCTATGATCATGGTATTACTGAGTTAGAGATCACCTAGACACTAACATCCTGTATAGTCAGTATTGAAGGCTATTGAAAAAACCAAACCAAACCAAACTATACATGTCTGCAGATATCTATCTGGATTTGCCATAAATATAGGTATGTGTGTTTGTATTTCCATTAGTGCATATATACATACAGATCCAGGGTGAATGTTTTTGCAAGCAAAAAGTTCTGTTTCCTATGGTATTTGCAGCTGCACTCCCACTGTGTTTTAAAACAGAAATATATCATGTTCCATTTTGCTAAGCAACAACTGAACATCTTTCTCAACATTAAGAGGCTGCTCACAAGTGCCTAACATCTGCTGTCTAGATTTCAGGAATACCTGTTGCGCTGGAGGTACTTTTCATACATTCATGAAAACCAAGTTTCTTTTCTGGAGAGCTCTAAGTCTGAGAAGTATTTTCTTGCCAGCACATAGTCATTTGAGTGTACCTGTGTCATGTCTGATGCATGTGTGTTGAAGGACAGAACAAAACAATTATATGATCTAATCTTACCAATAGGCAACTCGTCTCCAGCCCCTGCGCAGGAGAGCACTGGGGAAAGTCTATTAGCACATAATTAAATGAACAAGTGTTTAAGTACTTCCTGGATCTGGCTACTAACCTGAGAGAAGGAGATTTTTTTTTTCCCCCTAGAGCTGATGGCTTACCGTTCTGGCAAACACATTCTTCCCAATTTTCTTTTGTAGCTTTGCTCTTTTCTTGAGTAATTTTGCATGCAAATAATGTATCCGTTTCATCTCAGTGTCAGGATAAAATGAAGTTGACACGAGTATTTTAAGTTGGGTCAGGAGGCCAGAGAATAACCCAAAAATGATTAAGAAGAAGATGACGACTCCAAGCTGGATCCATGTCGTGGAGAGAGTGAGCTCTGGCTGAGGGATGCAGTCATGCTTAAACAAAGAGATCTTGAAAGGATCAGTCTTTGCAATATGCTCTCTCATACCAATGATAAAGCTGTTCTCATTCCTCTGCACAAGAAAAGGGGAAAAAAAGAGTTGACTCCCTCCTTTCTTAATATTCCTCCCATTGGACATTCAGATTTACAAAAGACCATAAACCATCTAGTCCATCCAGTGTCTATATATGCTATGCTTATAACAATATATTTATTGGCTATTTATACATGTTTCAGACGGCATTTTCACCATTTCTCTTGGGAGACTCCCACAATTTGGACTGTTAAGAACTTACCTTCTCAGTGGTTCTGATAGACAAATATTTAGCTAATCTGGCTGTAATGGTTTAATATATTCCCACTCCCATGAATCTGCTCAGATCCTCTGTTGGAGGGTCCTTCCTTCAGAGTAAAACAGCAGAGCAGAATGTGGCCGTCCCCTTGGTTGTGGCTCAGTATGTGATCAGCAGTGCTTCCACACCCACCTAGGCAGGTGCTCTGACCACAAGGTTACCACACAAACAAAGCCACCTCTCCTCCTCTAATAGGTGCCTTTGCTTAGAAGAGCTGGTGTCTTGCACTGCCTGTGGATTGAAATGCTGAATGAGAGGGACTAAATTAGACACACTGCTGGGACCAGCATTTCATACTGGCAGGCAACTTTCTGCTCTATGTGTCGGAATGCTGTAGGAAGACTGAATCACCCAGCCCTCTTTTCTGACCATGTCAGGGGTATATGTAGCTCTTCCCTGTGGCTCTTCTAACCACCTTACAGAGGCCAGGCACTTCTGTTAGATGCTCATTGGAAAAATCAGGTGCCCAAAGTATGCCACCCATTTTCAGCCTGTTAGCATTTCCTTGACAATATCCTCTTCCAATCTACCTCAGTACATTTTATCCCTAAACTGAAGCAATGTACAAGCAAGGAAAAACTGCATTAGGAACTCAGTATGAAACAGTGGCACAAGTCATGAAGAACTTCACTGTTCATACCAAGAATAAACATTGCAAGAAGTTGTTGAGTCTGTTCTGCTCACCCAGCCAGCTTTCTAGACTCCCTGAGGTCAGTAGCCCTGAGGCTTGTTATGACAAATCTGTTAAGGTTAGATTTTTACATTTTAATGTGACTAGCCTTCCTTGGGAAACTAGAAACAACCTAATGATGGCATAATTTTTTGTTTTGGGAGAGTCAACCAGCTTTCCACAGGAGGGAACTCTGGACATAAAGAGAGCAAATTCATAGTACAGGACTCATGAATCGGCCAGACAGGGTCAGGGTCAGGCCCTCTGTCCATGGATGATGGGACTAAGCTCCTTCTTTGCCCTGACTTGGGTCACACCCAAGGCAGGTCATGATAAGGGGCTGTCCTCAATGTATGAAGGATAGAAACACAGGCAAAACCACACACAACAATACACAGAGAATAGCTGAGGCTTCAGCAAGTTGCTTAGGGCTGTGTTCAGTTGGGTTTTTAATATCTCCAAGGATGGAGACTCCACAGCCTGTCTCAGAAAACTATTCTAGTATTTGATAACCTGAACAGTAAATAAAAAAACAAAACCAAACTTATGTTGAAATGGAATTTCCTTTAATTTATGCCCATTGCCTCTTGTCCCTGCACTGGGCACCACTGAGAAGAGTCTGGCTCCTCTTTCTTACACCACCCCCACCCCCATCAAGTATTTATACACACTGATGAGATCCTCCTGAGCTTTCTCTTCTCCAGCCTGAACAGCCCCAGCTCTCTCAGCCTCTCCTCGTATGACAGTTGCTCCAGTCCTTTAATCATCTTCTTGACCCTTTACTCAGCTCACTCCAGTATATGCATGTCTCTCATACTGGGGAGCCCAGCACTGGACACAGCACTCCAGATGCATCTCACCAGAGCTGAGCAGAGGGGAAGGATCACCTCCTCAGCCTGCTGGCAACGCTCTGCTAATGCAGCCCCTTTCTTTGACATAAGGGCACATTGCAGGCTTGTGGTCAACTTCATGTCCATCAGAACTCCCAGGGCCTTTTTCTGCAAAGCTGCCTCCCAGCTGGTTGGCCCCCAAAACGTATAGTGCATGGGGTTATTCCTTCCCAAGGACTGCAAGACATGGCATTTTCCTTTGCTGAACATCGTGAGGTTCCTGTCAGCCCAATTCTCTAGCCTTTTCAAGTCCCTCTGAATGGCAGCACAATTCTCTGGTGTATCAGCCACTCTTTTTTATATTATCTGCAGAGTTGTGTGGCTACTATCTGTTCCTCTGTTCAGGTCATTAATGAAGGGGTTAAACAGTATAGGTTCCAGTATCTACTCCTGGGGGACATCAAAAGTGACTTTGTGCCACTAATCAGAACCTTTTGGGTCCAGCAGTTCAGCCAGTTTTCCGTTCACGTCACTCTCCATTTATCTAGCCCATGCTTCATCAGTTTGTCAGTGAGGATGTTGTGGAAGACGGCATTGGAAGCCTTAATAAATTCACAATCAGCATCCACTGTTGTCCCTTCATCCAGCAATCCAGTGATCGTATAATTGAAGGCTGTTAGGTTGGTCAAGCATGATTTAGCCTTTGTAAATCCACGCTGAATACTCCTAATAGCCTTCTTGGCCTTCACATATTTGGAAATGGCTTCCATGATGATATTCTCCATCACCTTCCCAGGGATCAAGGTGAGGCTGACCAGACTGTAGGTCCCTGGATCCTCCTCCTTGCCCTTCATGAAGACAGGAGTGACAGTTGCTTTCTTCCACTCTTCGGGAACCTCTCCCAGGCACCATGACCTTTCAAAGATAATCAAGAGTGGCCCCACAATGACATCAGCCAGCCCCCTCAGCACCCATAGGTGGCTCCCATCAGGTCCCATAGACTTTGTTCAAATGTTCCCTGACCAGATCCTCCTCCACCAAGGGTAAGTCTTCCTTGCTCCAGACTTGCCCTCTAGTCTCAAAGGCCTGGGATTCCTGAAGGGTGGTCTTCCTAGTAAAGGCAGAGCTGAAGGTGACACTGAGTACTTTGGGCTTTTCCGTGTCCTTTCTCACCAGGACCCCTACTGCACTTAGCAGTGGACCCACATTTCCCCTAGTCTTTCTTTTGCTGCTGATAGACCTGTAGAAGCTCTTTGTGCTGCCCTTTGCCTGCCTCACCTGATTCAGCTCCAGGTGGGCTTTGGCTTTCCTGACCCCATCCCTACACAATCAGACAGTGTCTCTATATTCCTCCTGGGTCCCCTGTCCCTGCTTCCACCTCCTCTATGCTTCTTTTTTTTATATTTGAGTTTTGTCAGGAGCTCCTTGCTCATCCAGGCCGGCCTCCTGCTGCCTTTGCTTGATTTAGTTGGGATGAACCATTCCTGAGCTTTGAGGAGGTGATTTCTGAATATCAACCAGCTCTCCTGAACCCTTCTTCTCTGAAGGACCATATCCCAGGGGACCAGGACCATTTTGCATGCTGGTTTGGTGATGCTAGATGTGCAGCAGCAGGGTTTATATGAGGTGTAAAGCCCCCTTAGCATGTGTAGCAATCTGCCTCCTCAACATACCTCACACTAGACTGGCTGACCAGATGATGAAAGCCTCTCTGCTTTTGCACAGGAATCTGACCTCTCCAGGATGGGTCTGACTTGTTATACATGTGCTGATGGCACAGTTACAGTGAATCCAATGGCTTTTGCACCTACCTTCCTAAAAGAAAGTTCAGGTAACAATTAGATAGGTAACAATTAGAAAGGTAACAATTAGAAGTTGGCAGCCTCCATCCTTTAAGGAAAAGTGGTTTTCCACTGACACAATCTGGAAACCTTTGCCTTGTGTCTGCCATACAGAGTCTGAATTTCTCTACTCTTTGTTAAGATTAAACTGGACAATAACTGAATTTTTATCCCATGGAAGAGTTTGATAGTTTGATATACAATACAAAATCTCATCATGTGAAGTATGACAGAATTTGACCAGCAGCTTGACTTCATTTCAGCTAATTTCATCAGTGGTTTACATTTGCCTGAAGTGCTCCCATGCCTCAAGCATGCTGTGCACTATGTCTTCCTTCTCCTTGGTTCAGTCCCAACCAGATGAATGTCCCATGACACACCGGGACCACCAGTCTGCCACAACGCTGTCTAAGCTGAACCTGCAGTGGTATAGCAGTGTCACAGAAAATGTGGTCTGGCTGAAGAAGCCAGCTCAGTGGTTTATTATGTCACACATGCAAAAGTGAGAATGAGAATCTGCCAAAGATTGTATGTCCTGTTCTGTTTGCTTGTAATTTCAAGCAACACACTTATTGCATTGCTCACCTTAATAACCTTACTTTCTGGAATTGCTTTTGGCTAGATGAATTTTAGGGGGATGGGGAGAAATGGGAATGAATTCTCATTATGAGCTCTAAGAGGAAGTAATGAAAAATGCTGAGTAAGAAAAAATTGACAGAAGAAAGAGCATATATCATATTGTACCAACAGTCAAGCACCCCTTTGAAAACTTTTTATCTTGAAAGTATCAAAGGGTTATATGCTTTGGGGAAATGTTTTAAGCCTGATCTTGCAAGCTATCAAACTGGACAGCTTTCCTGTGCCCACACAGCATCACATGGCTCACACACTCCAGCAGTCCAATCTCCAGCCTTAGAAGTATTCACAGACAAGACTGAGCAATCTGATCTGACTCTGAAGTCGGCCTTGTTTTGAGCATGAGGTTGGTCTAGATGGCCTCCAGACATCCCTTCCAACCTGATTACTCTATGGTTCTGTACGCTACTGCTGCTCCTGCCAGAAGAACCTTGAGATTTCGGCAACATGTTATTATTTCGTGTGTACGCAGCCATGCCTTTTTAAATGATGAGCTCCTCACATACTCAGCTAAAGAAAGAATGGTTGGCATCTCTTACATCAGTGTCACAGTGGCATTTTGACTACAAAAGTGGTGCTTCACAATTGTCAGCACTGTGAGTTTCCAATTTTAAGCTTCCGGTCTTCTCCACATATATAAATGGAGGAATGAAAGTCCTTCTTCCTATATTTATTATTCTCTAGAAATAAGATGACACTTTGGAAAGTGCAGAGAACTGTCTGGTTCCATCCAACATACGTATCTGTAAAGACAATGGCCCTTTCTGAAAGAAAATGAATGATAATGCCATGAAAGAACTGACAGCTCATTGGCTGTACGTCTGCTCCTGCAGCTGCTGAAGATGAAGGGAAATTTTTCAACACTAAACTAAGAAATATAAAGTACTGATAAGTACTTACTTGCTGAAAGAGGCTGAGTTGAATCTCTAGATCCGGTACTTCTTGGAGATGTTTATTCACAGAAATAATTAACCAATAAAACAAATAATCTACTGCAGCAAACAGAAGCCAGATGCAAAGATGAATAATTATAGGGAGAAAAAAATACTGCATGTTTTTTCTGTCCTTCCTTGTGAGGCAGAAAGATGGGATTGTCACATAATCTTTTCTTTCTTTTCTGTTAAGTGGCAGAAGGCAGGGTCTTTGCTGTTGCTTTTGGTGCTCATCAAATGCGATGAACTGTTTAGTGATATAAGTGTTCTTAAATTTGGCAGTGTGAGAGCCCACAAATTTTTTGATAAAGAGGCCAGTTCCAAAAGAAGCTAGAAGAATTCCCACTACAGGCAATACTTTCTGGCCTATATAGGGCAGTACAGTCAGCATAAAAGATATCTGGTTAGCAACTCTCTGGATTTCTTGTTTTGTGTCATTTAGCTCTTGTTTTAACGCATCATCTGAAATTGAATAAGATGGTGTGAATTCATGCCTTAGGAACACTATATATTTAGATAGTTCAGTGGAAGGCTTGGCCGCCTCGTAAATCCATTTTACTGCCTCAACGTAATATTTTATCAAGGCAAATTGCTCATACTCCAAATGACAGGTTATACTGTCTGCCAGAACCTTTAGGTTGCGAAAAATATTTTGGATGTTGCCGGCCACCACGACGCCTGTGCCAGGAGTAATAAGAGCAAGAGCACCCCTGCCATTTTGCAGTCCGCAAGAAAGAAGGAACAGGACACTAAAACAGCGCAGGTGCTTGAAACAGGAGAGCATGATAGAAAGCGAGATCCAGATGAATCCAGAAATCAATAAGGGACCCAAAGGGTGGTGTGCCAGGGAGAAGTGCATGCCAAGGAATAAGAGAAAGCTTGAGAGGAAGCCAACTGCAGAGCAAACTGCAAAAAGCTGCATCAGATACTTCCAGCCAGGCTTCCTTTCGGATATAAAAATTCCCCAGGCATTCTGGGCTATTGAGACAAATGGCATATTCTTCTGATTGTTGCTGACACTGCAATAGCTCAAACTAAAAGGAAAGGAAAACAAAAATACTGTTAGTTACAGGGTCACACTATTGACAATGATGTGCTTTTAACTGGCTGATCAATAGTACAAAAAATGCAGGTCTGACTCACACGGGGGCTGAACCGTCGTCCCACGAGACGCAAATCTTCATCCCCAATATCACATATATAAACATGGAAGAAATTACTCTAAAAGGTACTCTATCTTTTTTTTGAAGTATTTTTGTCCTTTTACTTTTTGTACACTTTGATTTCTCATTTGCTATATAGACACAGTGGTTCATATGTACATATATGTGTTTGGGTATGTATGAGGAGAGAATGAGAGGGACGCAAGCCTCCCGTAGCACCCAGTGCTTCCCTGCAGATGCTAGCTTTGCCTTACAGGGGCACC